ATTTCTATGGAAATCCCTAGAGCACCGTGACGTCACTTCCTGTTTCAAAACCGGATGTGAGATCAGAATACTGTCCAAATCACGATGGCTTTTAGACTAGAGAATTGAACATTCCAATGTCATAAGAACATAAAAGAAGCCATGTTGGATCAGGTCAGTGGCCCGCCCAGTCCAACACTCTGGGCCACACAGTGGCCAAAAATTCCAGGTGCTATAAAGAGGTCCACCAGCGGGGCCTGATGTCACCTCCTGTATTGAAACTGGAAGAGATGTCCCAGTAGTCTCCGCCCCACTCCCATGCTCCTAGGGGATGTCACATGGAAGAAGAGGAGGAGGAGGAGGAGCAGGAGGAGGAAGAGAAGCAGGAGGAGGAGATTGGATTTATGCACTCGGAGTCTCAGAATGGTTTACAGACTCCTTTCCCTTCCCCTCCCCACAACAGACACCCTGTGAAGTAAAGAAGAAGAAGAAGAAGAGATTGGATTTATACCCCGCCCTTCACTACCCAAAGGAGTCTCAGAGCAGCTTACAAACTCCTCTCCCTTCCCCTCCCCACAACAAGCACCCTGGGAGGTAGGCGGGGCTGAGAGAGCTCTTGACAGAAACTGTTCTTTTTTCAAGAACAGCTCTGACAGAACTACGGCTTGCCCAAGGTCATCCAGCAGGTGCAAGTGGAGGAGTGGGGAATCAAACCCGGTTCTCCCAGATTAGAGTCCGCGCACTTAACCACTACACCAAACTGGCTCTCAAGCTTGCTGTGATGTTTTCAGAAGCTTTGGGACAATCTCCAGTTTCCTGCTAGGAGGAAGGGAGCACGGCATGACTCTTATGTGCTCCATTTATGTGTTCGCTCATTCATGTGTTTATTTTTCTACAAAAGTGATAGCTTGCCTTTCTGCCCTCACAAGGGCCAGCCGATGTGGCTAACAAATTAAAGCATATACAAACAACATATTGCTGCACAAGTTCATTTGGTTTTAAGCTAACAATAGTGTTCTTTTTAATTCCTTAAACAAGTCAATACATCAAGAGACCGAAGTCTTCAAGAAAGCAGAAACAAGGACGAACTTTCCCGGGCTTGGCAGTCCGTTTCGACCTGCGTCTTTCTCAAACGTCAGTTTGTGGTGTTTTTCTTCCAATCATGACTCTTTTCAATAATACATGCACAGATTCAATAGTGGCTAATCCAAGCTCTATTGCTTACCTTAAGCAATAGAGCTTGGATTAGCCACTATTGAATCTGTGCATGTATTATTGAAAAGAGTCATGATTGGAAGAAAAACACCACAAACTGACGTTTGAGAAAGACGCAGGTCGAAACGGACTGCCAAGCCCGGGAAAGTTCGTCCTTGTTTCTGCTTTCTTGAAGACTTCGGTCTCTTGATGTATTGACTTGTTTAAGGAATTAAAAAGAACACTATTGTTAGCTTAAAACCAAATGAACTTGTGCAGCAATATGTTGTTTGTATACGTTATCTAAATTGCTGGGTCCTGGTTAACTTTTTAACAAATTAAAGCAAACATAATAAAATTCATAATACAATCACATTGAGAGCCAGTGTGGTGTAGTAGTTAAAAGATTAGGATCTGGGAGACCCAGGTTCGAATCCTTATTCTGCCGTGGGTGACCTTGGGCCAGTCACACTCTCTCACCCTAAGCTACCTCGCAGTGTTGTTGTGAGAATAAAATGCCGGAGAGGAGAGTGACGTGAGCCACGTTGAGTCCCTATTGGAAAGAGAGGTAGGATATAATATTTTTGTTAAAAAAAATCAAACCATTATTACACACACCCCAAACAAACACACACATCATTAAAACAATTTAAAACAGGGGTGTCAAACTCATTTGTTATGAGGGCCGGATATGACATAAATGAGACCTTTGTTGGGACGGGCCATGTGTGTCATAAAATGTAATGCCAGGTAGCGGAGATATAAACTTTATAAAGGACACAAACACAAAGGGTTTTTTAAAACTTAAAATAAAAAAACATGCTTAAAACATCAGCACTCTTGCAATATTTTGTTTATTTAACAGTGTCTGATAGGCTTGCCAAGTCCCCGCCCCAGAGGCCTGTTCCCCGCCGGCGGCGGATCAGGCCCCGGGGGGGAACCCCACCCCCAACGCACGGGACGTGCCCAGTGTCAGCACGTCACCCGGAAGTGACGCAGCCATGCCAGGCACGCCGGGGGCGGGGCCATGGTCATCTGAGGGAAAACTTCTGGGTGACGTGCTCGCGGTGCGCACACACTTTGCATGCGCACGTGCGCTCCCGGAGCAAGCCGGGAGTCCCCTGCTGCGGCTTAAGGTAGGACTTGGTAACCCTAGTGTCTGATAACTGACACCTCTTGCTCTGAATCATTGCATCAAAATGTCTGTGCTATTGCAATCCTGAGAATGCTGTTCAGGTGTGCATCTGTAAGCTGCAAACCTGCAATGACGCAGGAGCAACAGAAATGGAAGAAGAAAAGTGGCCGGACACTTCTAAAATAGATATAAATAAATAAATGACCCAAACAGTTTCCATTTTTAAATTAGTTTTCATTTCTTTACCGAATATTCCACAGAATAATTTATCTGGCATTGGATTTACTGTACAATAGTTACAGTCCAGCAGCATTTACAGTCCTGCAAGGATTCCTAGAATTCGCTAATTGGCCGCTGTGTGAACAAAATGCTGGGCCTGATGGGCCTTTGGTCTGATCCAGCCGGGGCTCGCCTTACATTCTTATGCTTTATAGCTAGACAGGCATGAAAGAATCAACTGAACCACAACCCTGGATCTGATCGTGTGACTTAAAAGCCAAAATGGGTGCTGTAGTGGAAAAACATAATTACCCTACCCTAATGTTCATACAAAAGGGGCCGCGGTGGCTCAGTGGTTAAGACGCTGAACGGCAGACCGGAAGGTCGGTAGCTCAGCAGTTCGAGACCCGTGTGCCGCATGACAGAGCAAGCTCCCGTCTCTGGCCCCAGCTCCTGCCAACCTAGCAGTTCGAAAGCAAGAAATTGCAAGTAGATAAATAGGTACTGCTTTGGTGGGAAGGTAACAGCGTTCCGTGTGCCTCGGTGTCTAGCCATGCTGGCCACATGACCATGGAAACGTCTTCGGACAGCGCTGGCTCTTCAGCTTGGAAACGGAGATGAGCACCGCCCCCTAGAGTTGGATTCGACTGGCTTTCTAGCAAGGGAAACCTTAACGTACATACACATGCGTTTACATGGACATGTGCTTGAGCAGACATGATTATAATTTCCCCATGTGTAGATTTCACTTTCAGAGGCTAACCAATAAATAACAACTGTGCACTGACCAACCCACCCAAGAGCAATAGAAAAGAGACTTCAATACAATAAGTAATGCATGTAATCCATCATAGGATGATACACAAATACATAATATCCCAAAGGGAAAGAACAAAGTCCAGAATAACAATCTCTCATAACAATCAAGTCTGGAATAGATGTCCACAACGAAGTCAGATGTCCACCACTTTTCAACACTTTTCCTAGGTATAAATTAGTGTTTCGGACTTCAGGTCCTTCCTCAGGAGCTATAAGCCAATACTGTAAGTCTCTAAGCAGATTCTTAACAGGTACAAAATCATTCAGGTTTTATATGGGCCAGGTCTCCTAAATTCTAGAAAGCACCTACAAGGGTTGCTACTATGTAAGTTGGACGAAAATGCCTCTGACTTTCAGAGGCTAGTCAGGACATGCTGCAAAAACAGCTGCTTTGGTTCCCCGAAAGGAATGAAGAATAAGGACAGCGGGACTGTGACCTTTTTTGGGGGGGGGGGTGTTCGATGAGGTCCACAGAGCTAAGAGATGTAAAAAGCACATGGCCTTCATTTACAAACCGGCTCAAGTCATTGGATTTTGGTGCTCCAACCCACACATAACAGGAGCACACTCAACCCACGATCCTCCCAACACGAATAGTGAGCAATTTGCGTAAATAAGAAGCAGAAGAAGAAGAAGAGATTGGATTTATACCCCGCCCTTCACTACCCAAAGGTGTCTCAGAGCGGCTTACAAACTCCTTTCCCTTCCCCTCCCCACAACAGACACCCTGTGAGGTGGGTGGGGCTGAGAGAGCTCTTGACAGAAACTGCTCTTTTTCAAGGACAGCTCTTATCAGAACTACGGCTTGCCCAAGGTCATCCAGCCAGGTGCAAGTGGAGGAGTGGGGAATCAAACCTGGTTCTCCCAGATTAGAGTCCACGCACTTAACCACTACACCAAACTGGCAATACATGTATTTTCCCATGTGGATACAGCTTCAGTCCACATTAGCTTGCCATTTGCCCACCTGCAGTGGGTAAACACCTACCTTTTGCCCCAGTACCCCACCCAAGAGAAACTGAGGTTGTTGTTCAGTCGCATAGTCGAGTCCGAACCTTCACAAAGAGAAACTGAGGAGCAGGGCTAAAAATGGTCAGACAATGGCCTCCATAAGGGACACTATATAAAAATGTCCATGTCTGTATGTTCTTCACCACAGAGATGAAGGAGAATTCCTAGAGCGTCACCTGGAAGTCACATGACATCCTTCCCCAGATCCCACCCTTAAAATCTCCCAGCATTTTCGGAGGCACAGATGGCAATCCTAGAGCCATGTGAAACTTCATAGAGCCTTCAAAACTCTGGCATTCCATTTGCCCACATCAAAGCCAGAAAATACATGCATTGAGCTGTTCACACACACGGTCAACTGTGCTCATTACACACAGAGCATCAAAATCAAACATCTGAAAGAGGCTTGAAGAAGGAAGAGGAGGAGGAGGAGGAGGAGGAGGGGATTGGATTTATACCCCACCCTTCACTACCCAAAAGAGTCTCAGAGCAGCTTGCAATCTCCTTTCCCTTCCCCTCCCCACAACAGACACCCTGTGAGGTAGGTGGGGCTGAGAGAGCTCTTTCGAGAACTCGTGAGAGAACAGCTCTGAAAGAACTTGTGACCGTCCCAAGATCATACCAGCAGCAGCATGTGGAGGAGTGGGGAATCAAACCATTTCTCCCCGATCAGAGTCTACGCTCCTAACCACTACACTAAACTGACTCTGAAAGGTACCATTTAAGATGGGCAAGTCACTGTACACATCTCTAGCCATCTGCGCCAATAAAACGGGCAGCCTTCAACTAAGAATGGGGAATACCTTTCGAATTGCACTGTGACCGAAGAAACAAATCACATAGAGGTGTCAAAATGGCCATATTCCTCCTGGTACCAGAAGAGCCGTCAAGTTGTGTGGTCACGTTGTGAATTTCCTGCCTTGTGCAGGGGGTTGGGCTAGATGACCCTGCAGGCCCCTTCCCATTCTATGATTCTATGATTCTAAGTGATGTTCCTGGTCTCCATACACAGAAAACCATGGCCAATGGCAACTTTCAGTGTCATACCATAAATTCAGTCTGTGCATATTTGTCGTATACTACTTCAAATACATTCGGTATTGGGTAAACCACTGTATGGAATTGTGGGAAAAGAGGAGAATTGTGGGGAAAGAGGATTCTAACTCTGGACATACTCCTATGATATACCTGATGCTGAAGAGGCATCTCACGCTGAATAAGCCCTTGAGCTCATTTGGTCATGTGAACAACAGAATGGCAGGACTACGAGAAGTCCTTTTCCCCTTAGATCTTCATTCAAACGTCTTGCTTGGACATCTTTGAGTATCACCCTCTCCTCAGCACCTACAGTCCTCTTCTCTATCCCTGAAATTATTCCTACTTTTGATGAAGAGTCCACCGTGCTTCAGGCTTGGACGTCGCTTGGGTTTTATTGCACTCGTGGATGGTCCGGAGGAGAGTCCTTGAAGAAGTCGTGGAAGTAGGTGCAAGCCACCGACACAAACCGGATGTACTCCTCGAAGTCCACTTGGCCGTCGCTGTTCGTATCAAGTAATGCCATGAACTCCTCAAAGGCTCCCTCTTTTATTTTTAACTGGAGAGGGAGGAAATTGAGGAGTGGGAAGAAGGATGAGTGAGTTGTTGGTGCCCTTCTGGAATTATTAGGTCTGTCTTGAGTGAACTGTCATGGCTTCCCTTTTATGGCTTCCCTTTGTGAGTTAGGGATCCCAGCCTCGCCCAGTCCGGATGGGGGATCCCCCAATTTAGAGTAAGTTTTCCCGCTGCTGGCCCACTAGCTGGTGGGGGGAAATCCCTCCCCAAAATGACTTTTTTGGGCCACTTCCGGTAAAACCGGTAAAACTGGAAGTGGCCCGAAAACCGGAAGTGCTGCCCGCAATGCAGCCATTCCAAGGCCAGTTTCGCTCATCCCCGCTTCTAATAGGGGGGGAGCGAAACTGATCATGGAAAAGACTTGCAGCCAGTTGCAAGCCTTTTCAGTGCGTTCCCCCTCCCCCCCCCCCCCGCCGCCGAATACAAGCGGCGGGGAGCAAAACTGGCTGTGAGATGGCTGGCAGCCATTTCAGTGGCCCTTTTCACTTAAAGGGACTACTCAAATGGCTGTGTCGGGGACGGAACTTCCAGTTTGTAGCAACTTCCAGTTTTACCTGAAGTGGCCCAAAATGCCATTGCGGCAGGATATCCCTGTCCACACACACACCCCAGAAAGCCCCTCCAAAAGGCCCCCACCGGCAAGGTAAGGGGACCTGACAACCCTATTGGAAGCTTGAACTCTATAATGGGGCTTACAGTCCCTGAGGTTGCCTCAAAATGTAGTATTACGCCACTGACTTTTACTCTGAAGTAGACCACCAATCACCAATGTTCCCTCTGAGTGAGTGTGAGCTAGCTCACAGTTTTTTAGCCTCTGGCTCACACATTTTTGTCTTCGCTCAGGAAGGAGGGCTCCCGAGTAGACTAATTGATGCAGTAGCCAAATCACTCGCTCACAACTTTAATGCCAGTCACTTGCTCACCGCTTTGATGCCAGTGGCTCACAAAGTGGGATTTTTGCTCACAAGACTCCACAGCTTAGAGGGAGCATTGCCAATCACCCTCGATCCACTCATCCAAGGAGCCTGTCCTTGTGCCAACTGCTGCTGGTCCAGCAGATGAGAAAAATCCTACCGAATCCCATGAAGTAAGACTCATTCCCCAGTACTGTTGGGTCATTGGATTCTTTGAAATAAAGGAAAGGAAATTAGGAACAATATCCTGTTGTACTTCCTGGTTCAGTGCTACTGATGTAGAACAGAGTGGAGTGGCAAATGGGACACAACCACGGAGATGTTGTGGACAGGGTCCAGTTCCTGCCCTACAAAATGGCTTTCAGCCACATCTTTGTGCTACTCTAATCTAGTGCTGTGAGGCCACCTACTGGCAGCCCTAGTTGTCCCCTGCTGCTTCAAGTAGTGCCAGGAACACACACAAAACCTAAAACCAGCAACATCATCTCTGTTGCTATGTCCAATTTCCTCAGAAGTAGCTTGTGGGAGCTCTGGGAATTGCCAGAAAAATCTATGGTAAAACCTGGAAGTAACATAGGGTAGTTCTAGGAATCACCTGGACTCTATAGTAAAACTATGGTTATTTTTGGTACAACCATAGAGTTTCCAGTGGTTCCTAGAGCTACCCTATGTCACTTCCAGGTTTCCCCCCCACGGATGGCATACTTAGGCATACAACATCATGGCCTCTCATGTACCTGACCCTCCCATCAGCCTAGCAACCTTACTGTGTTCTTTTCCTATCTCTGCCTCCATCCAAGCTGTCGTTCTTGCACTTCTGGTTTAATGAACAATTCTTTCCAGCAATTCCATCTTCTCCTCCAAACCCAACCCAATCCCAGGACACCGTGAACGGGTGTGTAATACTTAACTGTTTTCAAAATGGGGAGCTCTTTTTTCAATAGATCCAGCAGCTCCCCTCTGCTGAGGGTGTATCTGTTGCCTTCCTTCCGGCAGTAGCGCTGGAAGATACAAACCACCACTCCAAGGGCTTGCTCTAGATTATTGTACATTCCCTCCATCGCAGAACATGTACTACAGACTCTGCAAGGCAAGGGGGAAACAGACAGTTGGATTAGTAAAGCAGAGATCCTTCTTAGAGACTGAATGGAATGAACCTGCAATCGGGGAACTCTTGGGTCGAATCTGTATTTGCATTTTAAAATCAGTTTCGTGCTGCTGTGACGCCGTCTTTCTCTATGCTCGTTTGAATGTTGTTTGGAGAAGACTCTTAAAGCAGTGCAGAGGTGCAATGATAGTGGAGCCGCTCCAAAAGGACAATAAACATATGTGGACATGCAAAAGTATGCTAGCACTGTTGAGGTGTGAAAACGACACCAAATGTAGACAGCTTTTTTGAAGATGGAGTCAAAAGGCTGGGACACCAGTGGGAAAGACAAGTGCAGATTCGGCCTTGGAGAGTCAGTGAAGTTCAACCATGAGCATCTTTCTTTTCTTTACCTTTAACATTTTATACCTAATACAAACCAACAAAATTACCGACATTCACCAAGCCACAAATAAAATTCCATAAAATAAACCAACTAACCAAAGTCTATACTGAAAGTACTAGAATAACACATTCATCAAATGCAAAACCTATAGAGAAGAAGAGATACCACACATCAGGGCTTATAACTTATACACATCGCAAATATTATATTAAAGTTAAATATTTTCCGTTTTTCGGAACCACTTCAATCCGCAACAAATAATCTAATACAACAGAGCACACTTCAACAAAATCTTAACGAAGAGCACTGGATTCATATTGATTCACCTAAGTAATTTTTTCCGTTACGTACATCTCCCATATCTTACGGTGCCGTAGTGAAAGTGTCGATGCATCTGAACATTTTTTGCTGCTGTTAGAAGGTTTGAAATGAGTCTTTGCCTAATTTGTGGGACTGTGACATCTGGCCAATAATTTAAAAACAATATTTCTGGGGGAAAGGGGACAACATAACCAGTGATAAGGAATATTTGATCCAATACTATCCTCCAGAACGGTTTGATTTTCTCACATTGAACACGAACAATGCACATTGTTGGGGGTTTCATATCATTTTAATGGCAATACTCTCAAAATGTATACTGTTTATTATTCTGTACGTATAGTAATTTATCCTGCAATTTCAATACTCAGTTCTCAAATCCAATATAATACTTCACTTTTTTTAACAAATTCATAGAATCATCAAGTTGGAAGGGGCCATACAGAGCAAGTTAAGTGCACGGACTCTAATCTGGGAGAACCGGGTTTGATTCCCCATTCCTCTTCTTGCACCTGGCTGGATGACCTTGGGCAAGCCATAGTTCAGATAAGAGCTGTCCTTGAAAAAGAGCAGTTTCTGTCAAGAGCTCAGCCCTACCTACCTCACAGGGTGTCTGTTGTAGGGAGCGAAGGGAAAGGAGTTTGTAAGCTGCTCTGAGACTCCTTTGGGTAGTGAAGGGCAGAGTATATACCCAATCTCTTCTTCTTCATAATCTAGTCCAACCCCCTGCCCAACGCAGGACCAGCCTAGCGCATCTCTGACAACTATTCGTCCAGCCTCTTCTTAAAAGCTGTCAGTGAAGGGGAGCTAACCACCACTCTAGTCATCTGATTCAACCTTTGAACCACTCTGACCATGAACAAGTTTTTCCTAATATCCAGCCGATATCTTTCTGTGTGTAATTTAAACCTGTTGCTTCAGGTCCTGTCCTCTGCTGCCAACTGGAACAGCTCCTTGCCCTCCTCCAGATGACAGCCTTTCAAATATTTAAAGAGAGCAGTCATGTCCCCCCTCAGTCTCCTCTTCTCCAAACTAAACATTCCCAAGGCCCTTAGCCTTTCTTCGTAGGGCTCAGTCTCCAGACCCCTGATCACCCCCTGCACTCTCTTCTGCACCCTCTCAATTTTGCCCAAATCCTTTTTGAAGTGAAGCCTCCAGAACTGCACACAGTACTCAAGGTGCAGCCTGACCAAGGCAGTGTACAGAGGGGCTATGAAAAGTCATGTTCCAAAAATAGACAAAGGGCAGCCATTATGGTGCATTATGGTACAAAGGTGCTCTGTACTTGTGAGTTCTTAGATGGCCTTATATAAGCATAGAATTCTTCAGCTGGGTAGCTGTGTTGGTCAAAAGCATTAGAACAAAGTTTGAGTCCAGTAGCACCTTTAAGACCAACAAAGTTTAATTCTGGATATAGGTTTTCGTGTGCATGCATGCTTCTTTAGATTCATTGAAACAGACTTCGCCAACCATCACATAGAGGTAGAGAGAGGATGGGGGGATTAGTTGCCAGAAAGGGCTAGTTAGGGTCAAGATGTACAAGTCACTGAGCAATAAGGATAGCTAAGATTCAATTAAAGCAGTTGGTGAGACCTGTGAATAGCCGCAAATTAGCATACAAACGAAATCTTTAAAAGTGTGCATGCACACAAGAGCTTATATCCAGAATTAGACTTCGTTGGTCTTAAAGGTGCTCCACTGGAGTCAAACTCTGTTCCATCAAAATCTTGTACATTAGCATAATCGGCCACTGTTTTTTATACTACAGCTCTGTAGTGCAATTTTCTTCCGGTTCTGGGCCGAGATCTTTCTGGCCGCCACCATCAGGTGTATTGTCAAATATTGTACATCCTTCCAGAAATCCAACAGGTATACTGATTTTATCTCACTTTCATTCTCATGGCTCCGCCCCCAATGGAAAAAAAAGAATTCTGGGGATTGTAAATTATCAGAAGGGGAGCTTAACCGAGTAGCGTAGATACCTCGATATTTTGCAGGTTTGTTATGTAGAACAGGAAAGGGCATATAACTAGGACAGCTGCCAGATGTGGTGCGAAATAGCTAGCCGGTTTGTGCTTTTAAGAAGGAACAGCAACCTATTGGAACCCTTTAAAAATAACCCAACATTATTCTTCAGTTATACTTGCAGGAACTTGCTGACTAGCCTCAACTAGGGTTGCCAAACTCCCTGGTGGAGGTGGGGGTCCCCTGCTGCCAGGCCTGCTGTCCGGCGGCAGGGGAAAACTTATGCTGAAAAAGAGGGAGATCCATCCAACCTGCAGTGGCGTGTCTGCATCACTGCCCACATGACCCGGAAGCAACGTCATCACGTCCAGGTCACCGGGGCAATACTCTGGTATTTGGGCATAAACTCTATGGTGAAAGCCAAATTCACCATAGAATTTTAACCCAAATACCAGAGTATTGCCCCGATGTCCTGGAAGTGATGACATCACTTCCGGGTTAGGTGGTCGGTGACACAGACCCATTGCTGCATGTCAGATCGGCCTCTCTGCTATTCCTGGTAAGTCTCCCCATCCCCCGCTGGAGGCACCCTCCAAGCTTGTCAGAGCAGATAAGGTAATTAGGATTGGCCATGGTCAGTACATGGTCACCAAAGAAGACGAAGATTGCTACCCCGAGGAATTTCAGTGGCAAACTATCTCTGCTCACATCTTCCCTTGAAAACCCCATGAGAGGGTCACCATAAGTCATCTGCAACCTGACAATACTTAATTATAACGACAGCTGCAGGGGCTGAGGCTGAAAAACAATGTGGCTTCCTGAAGGCCACCTTGAGAAGCTGGTGGTAGAAGTGAGATCTGAACTCCAGATACCTGGCTCACACTGTTTCTCTTCAGGGCTGCACCAGCTTGGTTTTTGGTTGTGTAGAGACGAGTGGTGCACCCCCTGAACCTTCCCCCCTCCAGTTTTCACTCTATACCCACTTCACCTCATTTTTCTGGACTACAGAGATGCCATCCAACATTACTGGAGGGGTCATACAGATCAGCCGCAAATGCCATGTTTCACCGAGGGCTTTCTGACCCTGATATTGCATGCAGGCATACTACTGAGCTCCAGACGCTGCAGATAAGCATCGGGGCATAGAGTCACAGAACCGCAGAGTTGGAAAGGATCTCCAGGGTCATCTAGTCCAACCCCCAACACAATGCAGGAAATTCACAAATACCTCCCCCACACATACCCCCACTGACCCCTGCTCCACGCCCAGAAGATGTTCCAACATCTGGATGACCTCTGTGGGACTCCATATTAGAAGGCACCTATGAACTGACACAGCAGGGCTCTTGTGACGCACTTCAACAGAAACAGTCCCGACACACCAAGAAACGGAACTTTACAATTCAATCCAACCACCACTCCCTCCGGGTAAGACATTTTTGGCACATTTTTGGAGTCACCACAGGCCCCCAGAGTAAGCACCCGGAAAAGTACTGGCGACCCCACCTCCAAAGGAAGAATATAAACATACCAACCAAGGCATCCAGCGATAATGTTCTATATGAGCCCAGCGAACAAGTCGGGAAGGAAGAAGATTGTATTTCCAGCTTCCCCAACGCCTACCAACCTGTCTTGGATCGTCTTCCGCAGCTGCTGCTGGCACATTCCAACTAGGACAGGCCCGCATGTTAATTCACAGGGCAGAAAGGCCTTGGGAACTATCCACCCATCGGTTGCATCACATCTGATACCAATACACACCCCAGGGTGTTCCAAGAGTAGGACATTGTTCACTCACCACCCACAAAACCTCAGAACTCGTGGTTCATCTTTCTCCCATCTGGTGTCTCATTTGCAAGCAAATGAGCTGCCTTCTGAAATACACGTCTGTTATTTATAAAAATAATTTTGAAGATCCAGAGCAAAATTAAAACTCGTGCATTCAGCAAAAAAAAAAAAGGTATTCCTGCATGTTGTTGGGACCTGGCTCCTGCTTTAAACTGGCTACACTCAAAAGGAGCATATATATCTTTGTTAACATTCATTGCTGCAAAATGGCTGCCATAAAACAGACCGATTTCCCAGAAGCTGCTGCTACGCCCTCACTCTTCCCTTTCCCCCCATTGTATGCGTCAGTTTCCCACTATTTGCTGCGCAGCTGCATTTTGACCCACAGCTTCACCCAATTTCCCCCGCATCTTCTCGATCCTCAAAAAACAGGATTGAGAAGACGCAGGGGAAATTGAGCAAAGCTGCAGGGCAAGATGCGGCTGCACAGCAAATAGTGGGAAATTGACGCATACAATCAAAGGAAAGGGAAGAGCAAGGGCGGAGCAGCGGCTTCTGGAAAATCGGTCGGACTGTTGAGACATGAGGTATAACACAACACATAGGCCAACACAATCCCAACACCTTTTAGCTACATGTCAGTTTGCCATTGGGCCTCACAAAGTCTGTGTCTCCCTAGCATATGTGATATCCAGAGAAACAGAGGAGGAGGAGGAGGAGGAAGAGGATTTACATCCCACCCTTCACTACCTGAAGGGGTCTCAGAGCGGTTTACAATCTCCTTTCCCTTCCCCTCCCCACAACAGACACCCGGTGAGGTAGGTGGGGCTGAGGGAGCTCTTGAGAGAACTGCTCTTGAGAGAACAGCTCTGAGAGAACTTGCGACTGACCCAAGGTCACTCCAGCTGCTGCATGTGGAGGAGTGGGGGAATCAGACCCGGTTCTCCCAGATTAGAGTCCGCTCTCTTAACCGCTACACCAAACTGGCAGAGCCCAGGCCCTGGAGAACTATCAAAAAATCACACTGTAACCCCTAGCCAGGGGTCCCCACCTTGATGCCCACCGACACTATCTTGGTTCCCACAAAGTGTTTTTAGGAAGCAGGTGAGGCTTTTGCCAAGGAAGACTGGCTACGCAGATTAAAGGAACACATTATGGGAGATTACAACAGATTACTTACAACGTGTGAGGCCTGGGATAACTGGCACATTGTAGGCTCAGGGAAACAGCGGAGCACAACTGTTTTGTGCATCAGTTAGGGTCAGAAGTGGGCCCTCCTGGGACTGCAGGGCCTACGAGCATAGAAGAAAAAGAAGAAGAAGAAGAAGAAGAAGAAGAGGAGGAGGGGGAGGAGGAGGAGGAGATTGGATTTATACCCCGCCCTTCACTTGGAGTCTCAGAGCGGCTTACAAACTCCTTTTCCCTTCCCCTCCCCACAACAGACACCCTGTGAGGTGGGTGGGGCTGAGAGAACTCTGACACAAACTGCTTTTTTTCAAGGACAGCTCTTATCAGAACTACGACTTGCCCAAGGTCATCCAGCCAGATGCAAGTGGAGGAGTGGGGAATCAAACCCGATTCTCCCAGATTAGAGTCCGCGCACTTAACCACTACACCAAACTGGCTCTTCAGGTCTTGCCAGGTCTGATCTTCTCCCTCCAAGGGGGGTTAGGGGCCATTCCAGGAGAGGGCGTGCCCACCCCCAGCGTGATGACGTCACTCTGCATGATGTCATCACATCCCTGCTTTTTCCCTATCATTTAAAGGGAAACTTGACTTTAAATTGTGGGGGAGGGGAGCGAGGGCCAAGCGCTCCTGCCATGCAAGAGGCAAAATCACACTCCCGCTTGGGAAGAGCAGGTGCTGGGTGCTCAGGGTCTCTTTAAGAGCTCGCAGCTAGTGGGCCCCGCACTCAAGAGAGAAGGGAGAGAGATGGCTGCGAGTGTTCAGGCTTGGGGGCAGGGTTTTCCCCACCAGCCCACTGGCCGGCGGCGGGTTGAACCCCCCCCCCCAAAGAAAGCAGGTAAACCCTGCCAGACCTGGGGAGTTTGGCAACCCTGGGGCCTACCCAAACATGCTAAGCTCTGTGAACAGCCTTTCGCAATGATCCCAAAGGACGTCATTTAGGGGCTCACCAACCTTGCCTCAAATTCAGCAGCAGCTCATCAATAGATCCCATTCCTAATGTGGCCAGATCTGTGGATACTTAGATCTGGAGAATGGGGCCACGAACAGATAACACAGATCTTCCTACAAGTCCGAGAAAAGCCCCGGGTTTGCGGAACATTTTGAGATCTTAAAAGAGGGGGGGACACTGGTTTTTTTTTAAAAAAAACCCCAAAATAATCGAAGCAGCACCTGTAAGGAACAAACGCCTTCTGTGGCCATTGCTCGGCAACTACAACAGTACTGCCTGTTGAAGCCTCGGGTTGCTGTTGTTTTTTCCAGTCAAAAGCAGGGAGAGAGTGGCAGGGTTCTTTCCGGCACTGTTTGAGCGCTTGAGGGAGGACTCATCGGGGCCAGGCCCAACAGCAACCACAAGACGACTTGTTCCCAACCAATTTGCATGACTCACCCATTACTATTCTAAAGCAGCCGCCCTCTAATAGCCAAAGTGTTGTAGCAGTTGGACTTTCAGGTTCAACTCCACTCGGCCATGGAAGCTCACTGGGTGACGTTCGGTCTGTCACATACTTAGGTCAAGGTCCCGACCAGTGTTCCCTCTAAGCTGAGTTAGTGTGAGCTAGCTCACAGTTTTTTAGCCTCCGGCTCACAGATTTTTGTCTTAGCTCAGGAAGCGATAGCTCCAGAGCAAACTAATTTATGCTGGAGCCAAATTGATTGCTCACAACTTTAATGCCGGTAGCTCACAAAGTAGAACTTTTGCTCACAAAACTCCATAGCTTAGAGGGAGCATTGGTCCCGACCTTTACGCAGTGGGGGGCTCCAGGCTCTTCTCCGGAAGTGACATCATCATGCTGGGCATGTCGCGGGGGGACACTCTAGCATTCAGCCAAAAACTCTATGGTTACCATAGAGTTTTTGCCCAAACCCTAGAGCATCCTTACCCACGCAATGTGCCCGGTGGGATGACGTCACCTCCGGGTGATATCATTGCACCTGGCACGGTGGGCGCTGTGGACCTCTTCAGGGGCGGGGCTCCCCCTGCTGGCAGCTGGCCAGCAGGTGGCTCAGGGGCCCGAAATCGGTGGGAACCCCACCCCCATTGGGGGGAATGGCAACCCTCCACACACTCTCAGCCTAACCTATCTCGGAAGGTTATTGTGGGGATAAAATGTAGGAGAGGAGAATGATGCAAGCTGCTTTCAGTCCCCATTGGTGAGCAAGGTAGGCTATATAGTCAATAATAAATACAGCAGAAGATGGGGGGGCAGATAAACGTAGGATGGCTGGTGGGTGGGAACTAGAGAAGGAAGCAGGGAAAGGTGAGGCTACGGGGGCTGCCAGGAAGAAAGAGGGGGGGGAATAGTGTTATTTGACAGAGAAAATTATATCCTTCTCCCTTCCCTCCAGCTCTTTCTTTGCATTCCTGAGTCTAAGAATGTATGGCCTGCTCCTAAACACATGTACTCAGAAGAAAATCCCGCTGAAGTTTACTGGCATTTACTTCCCGACCAGTATGACAGAACTTACAGAAAGAAGCAGAACCTGCTCGTAATTGCTTTTAACTGCCTGGGAAAGTGGATCGGGCCCCTTCGGGGTGGACCTGAGAAACTGGCTGCCTTGTTGACTAAGGCAGAGGCAAAAGGCAGGGCCCGGGAAGGAGCCAATGGAGGCAGTGATGGAAAATTTGAACAAGCAGGGGGTTTTTAATGAAAAGCGGCACAGTGGCTACTCTGTTGGGTGTTTTGCAGCCCTTAGAATTAGGTTGGAAGACGATTTTAAGGGGGGAAACTGTGTGTGTGTGTGTGTTTTGTTAAAGATAGCTTCTTTCCAACACAAACACCCCTTCCAATGCAGCATAGCTAGCCAGTGAATTTTACAGGAACCATGTGGAGAAGAAAAGGAGTGAGGAAAACTGAACTCATCTCTCCAAAATGGGATGCTTACTCCGTTGAGAAAGGGGCGTTTTTAGGATTGTTTAATTCTGTCTTATCAGCAGAGCTCTGTGCCCAGCTGGGACCTTGTCCTGCGGGAAGTGCTGTTTAGACCCGTCTTTATTTTATTTTTTAGAGCAAAATTTGAATTTGTGACCTGGCTGTTCCCATTGAAAAAGTGGGTGCTTGTTTTTAAGACAGGAAAAATTATTTAGCTCTTGCCGATTTTCTGGGTTGTATGGCCATGGTCCTGGCATTGTAGGACCTGGCGTTTCGCCAGTAGCTGTGACTGGCATCCTCAGAGGTATAACACAGAAAGTTGGAGTACTCTCTGTGTCAAGGTGAGAAGAAAAATGGTAGGCAGGTAATTTATAGCTGCAGTCACACGTGTGATATAATATGGGGGGAAGCGAGGCTATTTGCCCCGGGCCGAAAGGAAGCGTGTTTGCGCGATTGTACACCCACACGCCCCCGCGGTTTCCGAATGCTAGTTGACTTTTCGTTGTGGTTTTTTACTACGCTCTTGCAGCACTATGGAACGGCACGCCGACTACTACGGGACGCTGAGCAGATGTTCTCGTCTAATCGCGCCGCTTTGCTCCGTGCTGGAATCGCGCGTGTATGCCACCGCTTACGGTTCGTATGATCGCACCCTATATCTACAATGTTAAATTACACAGGGAAGCCATTGAAATTCATCAACATAAACACAATTTCAACAGGAGTTTAAAAATAAATAGGGCATGGTTTCCTTGTCCTGAAAAACACAAAAGGCTCTACATCTGACAATAGCACTACAGATAAGATTAGAA